CAGTAGGTTTATGTGAAGTGTTGGCAAAAACTTGAACTAAGGCCAAAACAGTAGAGGCTGGGAATGATGGAAGCCTTCTGATTCGAGGGTGATCCAGCAGCAGTGAGGTCACTTCTGTCTGCTCTGTCACTGTAAAGAGTATTGGGATTTGAAGTTTTGGGGTAGACTTAGAACCCAGTCAGCGTCCTAGGAGAAGATCGGAACATAGCCCCTTCGGAGTTTGGCTTGGTTTCTCACCCTACTTCAGTCTGGCCTAGCAGACTTTGCACAGGCTATAATTAACAGGCTTGGTGGAGTACCCAGTCCCAGGTTCCTGCTGTGCCTAGCAAAATCAAGGGGTTATCGAGAGTGAACAGAATTGGACTCAGGCCACCTGTGACTGTGATCACATCACACCACCAGCATTGCCACTTACTAGCTTCATAGCTTGAGCAATGCCCCAATCTTTAGTTTTAGCATATAGGTGAAGTCACAGATAATGGATTCTGGGAATTTGGAAGTTGACAGTTTCTGCTTATCTGCTAACATTGAAATCTCTCTAACATTGAAATACAGGTGAATAAATATGGAATTAATGTTTGAAAATGGATTTTCAAAGACAATCTAGTTTTAGACTTTTAAGATCCTTAATTTAATACGGTTTTGCTTAGAATAATATATATTTCAAAGATAATGGTAGAATAAGGTAAAATGTGTTGATCAGAGAAAAGTGTGAACAGAGTTTTCAGGTCATCTAATTCATTGGTTTTTGTAACAATCTGCAAAGGCCTGTTCAAAGATAAACTTAGGCACACTAACATTTTAAGCAATGTGTTTGAGCAAACCGATAAATAAATCAGGCAGTGCCAAATAGAAAGGGGTTTTACCAACAAATGATATGAGGGAGAAAGGTGCATGGAACAAGGTAGAAAAAGTAGAAAGTCTCTAGTCAGAGGCTTGTTGGTAGTTTCTGATTGTATAGGCTTAAGTCTAGTTGTGCTGTTTATGTCAAGTTGGGTTTTGATTTGCTTATGTAGGAACCCAAAGTGCTGGAGCCTTTTCAACCTCAGGCCTTCCAGTTATTTTAACAGATATGTCAAGATTTTGACACATAATCACTTTTTTTTTTTTTCCTGTACTGGGAATTGAACCCAGTGCACACTATCATTGAGCTATACCCACAGCCCCTTTTCTTTTTTCTTTCTTTTTTTGTACCGAAGATTGAACCCATGAGTGCTTAATCACTGAGCCACATCCCCATCCCTTTTTATATATTTTTTAAAATTTTGAGACAGGGTCTCGCTAAGTTTAGGGCCTTATTGAGTTTTTGAGGCTGGCTTTGAACTTGAAATCCTCCTGCCCCAGATTCTCCTGCTGCTGAGATTACAGGTGTATGCCACTGAGCCTGGCCTCTTTTTAAATTCTTGAGACAATGTCTCATTAAGTTTCTTGAGGCTAACATAGAATTTACCATCCTTCTGCCTCAGCTTCCTGAGTTTCTGGGGTTATAGGCATGTACCATTTTGCTAAACATGATTCTTATTTATGACTCTTATTTGCTGAAGTGTAATTAACTCACGTCATATTAATGTCAGTGTGTTTTGAGTAGGATGTACTGTATGTCTCAGGTCAACCTGATTTATAGGGTTGTTCCTTATCTTCGTGAAAGGAAACCACCAGTTCTTGCCATATTTTAGCTACTATATTATAGAGTAGGAATCTTCAGAGCTAACATTGAACTCTGAAATAGGTCAATTGGTAGACATCCAAAAATCTTTAAATTCATGGGTAGTTTTTGTGAGGCGGCACAGGGAGAATGGAGGTTGGTTGGTTTTGAGAATCATCTGTGTGCCAGTATGGTTTTAAGGCATAGGGAATACAGTGGAAACCCTACATTTCCCTTCCTTAAGAAACTTGCATCTCATGGAGAGGACAATCAATATTAATAAAGTGGTTTATGAAACGTAAGCCTGAGGTTCTAAAGCAAACAACCAGGAGAGCTTGTATTGAGGAAATAGCATTGTTGAAAGATTTTAAAATTATATTAACGATACTTAGAATTCTCTGTCACAGCGATAGTAGTCTCCTGTGTGCAGTTTGCTCTAGAGGGGAAGACCTGGGCATGGTGGCTCATACTTTTTTTTTTTTTAGTGGTGCTAATTCTAATCCTGTCAATCTGGGAGGCTGAGGCAGGAGGCTCATAAATTCAAAGCTAGCTTCAACAACTTAGGTTCTGTCTCAAAAAAAAAAAAAAAAGGTGGGGGACTGGGGATTAGGGATGTGGCTGAGTGGTTATATGCCCTAGGTTCAAGTTAAGCCATTATACCAAAAAAATCCTCCTGACATCCCCACAAAATGGAATGTGTGTGTGAATTTTGCGGGTCTATAAATACTCAGTTTATAGCAGATAAGTGAAATCATATTATCATTCCTTAAACTGTATTTTGTGTTTCAGCCATACCTTCACCACAAAAATATGATATGCACTGTTAAAATTTGTTGCTTTCTCTTAGGTAAATTGGCTCTCTTCTCTTACTTGGAGCCTTTGTTTTCTTATCTAGAAAATGGGAATAGGGGTTGCTGTCTTAACAAGTTAAGAGAAATTTTGAGAATTCAATAAAATGTTGAATGTAAAAACACTTTGTGATCCGAGAACTATATAATTGAAGATGAAATTACAGTTATTCCCATGGGTTTCAGGCATATTAGTGGCAGTGGTTCATCACTCAAGTCCATCTATCATTACTACCCTTCTGCTGCTAGCACACTTATCTTGAGTAGAAGCACAGTGTTTCATGAAATTAATCTTTTGACCTAACGCTTAACAATAACTAAGCACACATAAATGAGTGTTCCTTCATTATCCCACAATACACACCCTCTATTGCCAGCCAATTTTTCTGACTTACAGTGCTTATCAGTGTGAGGCTGGAGCAAGGCACAAACTCACCTTCTATGCTGTGAAGGACAGCTGTTTTAATAGTCAGCCTTAGTTTCTGATTATAGGTACCTATAGGTAGGCCTCCCTCCCTCACCCCTTCCTTTCTTTTCTTCCTTCCCCTCTTAATCTTTCTAAATCCCAGGACAGCTGTGTAAGACACATGTCTATAAAATAAGAGTAGATGTTTCTAGTGTGTGTGTGTGTCAGACTTGAGTGGGAGGAATTATGTGATCTGTACTTGTGTACAAGGATTAAGTCCTTTTCAGTAAAAGGTTGCCTAGGTTTTAGTGGTTTTTCTTTCCTCATCCTCTGCTTCCCAAATACATATGCACACCCAGAAGAACTTAATTACTCTAGGACCCAGAATCCAAATTAGGTTGTTCTAGTCTTATAGTAAATACATTATACATCCTAACTGGTGATTCTGCCCCTATGTCTATGAAGTCTCTTCCCCTGCAAGACAGACCTACGTACGTTGGCTACATACTTTGACTCTTGCAACCAATGATATGCATGGTTGATACTTCATTTTATATTAGGGAACTTCCCATTTGTCTTTTCTTATATTCATAGTATACAATAGAATGAGCTTTGAATATAAAGTTTACATTAACCCATTCTAGTCACCAGACAGTACAGTTCTGCTTAGAGCAGAGACATTCATCTTTATGTCCAACTTCTGTCCTCCTTAGTCTGTTTTCTACTCTTAAATGGAATACCACACACTGAGTGAATTGTAAGCAATAGCAGTTGGTTTGGCTCGCATTTCAGGAGTTGAGCATGGTGCTGGCATCTGGTGAAGGCCTCTGTGCCATGTCATAACATGGTGGAGGGCCAGGCAAATGCAGGGCAAGACAGGGCCCAACTTTTAACAAAACCATTTTTCTGACATTTAACCCACTCTTGTGATAATTGTGTAAATTCAGTCATGAAGGCAGAGCCGTTATGACCTGATCACCTCTTAAAGATGCCCACCACCTCTTAATACTGGTAAAATAGCAGATGAGCATGAGCTTTGGAGGGAACATTAAAACAGCACCATCCGTTACACCAGATCTGTTGTCCTCCTATAACATCACCCCACTCCTAAGTGATGGCAGGGAAGTTTCTATGTAGCTCCCTTTATATACTGTCTCAATAGGAAGTATTAATGTGACCTGCGGAGTCTTCTCAGGCAGGGGCTCTGGTCAGCTGTTGCTCTGGTCTCTTCCCTAGAGGCATTTCACTGTGTATATTTTTTTCCTTTTCCTTGGCCAGTCTCCATAATTGATCATCAGCAGCACTCTTGCTTCTTCTTCACTCTCATTTCTGTTTTTTACAAACTTACATGTGACATCAGAATTACTTAATAAGCTTAAAAATAATAAGCACAACCTTGGGGATTGACGTAGGGTATCTGGGATGAACCTTTTGACTCTATGATTTCTAAAAACTCTCCAGCAGATTCTGATGAGTAGCCAGTTTGATTGCTCTTAAGAATTACTGCAATAGGTAATCACTTTTTTTTCTTTGTTCTTTTTAGATATAGGTAATCATATCTTTTTAGCTAGAGTTATTCCATTGGAATAATGCTTTTAAAATTGCCTTACATTACAGGTGTTCTTTTTCCCTAAAAGAGAAAATATGCTGCCCGGCCTCATCCCCTGCTACCTTCTCCCTACCCCAGGTTGTCCCTCCAGAGTACCTCTTGCAATGTGGATATTCATCAAAGGTCATGTTGTGTTGGAAGTTTTAAAGGAATTAAGGTAGATTCCAAGAAGATGGAAGGTTTTCGTTAGGCTTTATTCAGCAAAAAAGCGTTGTCTGCTTGAGTGTTTTGGGTGGCTCTAGTAGTGGAAACTGTCTTGCAGGAGTATATTACCTAATAAAGATAGAGGAGACATATTACTGGGGATTCTCTCCAGTCTATCTTACCCACACCCTTCCAGTCTTTAAAAATGTCCCATCCTTTCAGATAGGCCCTACAGCTTGTTCCTAGTACCTGCCCTGCCGAGAGAGGTAGGGCTGATCCTTTACATAATGGAGCAGATCTTCTAGGCTGTGTTTTGAGAGTATGAGCTAAAAAGTCATAGAAAGAAAGATGGGGAAGGAGCGGCATTGTGCAAAGAGAAGCATAGAGAAGGATGAAGAAGAGTGCAGAAACAATGCTGAGAGAATGACGTTAGTTCTGATTCTTGGTATGAGTGCCTCTTCCCACGGGCTCTCAGACACCCATCAGTTTATTGCCATTTTTTGGTTTAGCTAAGTCTTAGAGTTTCTGTTACTTGAATTAAAAGCTGCTTTACTAGAATAACAGATGAACTATGTGTATGACTTTCTCCTTTGTGTTGTATTTGTTGTAAGATTACCACAAATAAAATATTAGAGATTAGAGCCCTATTAGCTACAAGAAATGTGATATGCCAGAAATACGTGATGAGATAGTTCAGTTAAACTAAATAACAATTTGGCCATTAGGTGTTATGTGCAAAACTTTTCTAGCCCCAATTTTTTTAAAGACTATTATTATTTCCCTGTCTAATTAGCATATCTTTGAATATCTTAGCAGTTTTATTTGGCATTATATTGCCTCTCAGTTTCTTTGCTAAGTCATACTTTTCCTGTGTATACCCATTGGGGGTTTATAGTGCTTTTCCCAAAATGTGTTGGGTAGTTGCTTTTCCTTCAAACTACCTATAATTTTTAGTATCATCCTTTATTCAAACTGGTAGCCTTATTTGATAAACACTCTGTTGTGCATGGAAGCATCTTCAGTGCTAGGTACTGTGATTTAGAGAGTCCCTTCACTCTAGCCCCTGCTCCATCTCTCCTCAGGTTAAGGTTTTTTTTTTGCCAATTGAGCCACATCCCAGCCCTATTTTATATTTTATTTAGAGACAGGATCTCACTTAGCACCTTGCTTTTGCTGAGGCTGGCTTTGAACTTGCTATCCTGTCTCAGCCTCCTGGTGGCTGGGATTACAGGCATGCGCCACTGCACCTGGCCCAGGTTGTTTTAATAGTTCTGTCAAAAGTTAAGTCCCTCAGAGGACATCTTGTTGAACTAGTCAATTTAGTGACTACGGCTACCATTTTACTGCTACCAACACTACGATTTATCTCTTTGCCCTCCCCACCTTATCATTACAATAGTCATTGTAAAAAACCCATGGTGGCTATTTGTTCATCTGCCCAGCAGATTAACTCCTCACATTTATTAGGGGAATTTTTCTACCTTATGCTTTTTTTGTCACAGTGCCACTGTCTACATCCTTCCATGCAAACCACACAGGACATAAACCTAGGCAGAATTGCACACTTTTAATGTTTGCTTATCTCCAGATTTGAGGATAACAAGTATAGAAGTATGGAGACTCCATGGTTTAGCAGGCCTGGATGGGAGGAGAGTGGTGGTGGGGCGTGGTATAATTTGCTTCTCTAGACCCTGGGGTCTTTCCCATGGCCACTGCCTTCAGAATTTTCACTTGGAATTAAATCTCCATACTATTTGGTTACTGACAGTGATTTTAAAAACTTGAGGGTGTGTGTTTTATAAAAATTGGAGAAGCTACTACCCTCAGCTCTTTATTTTGTAGATGTTTGTGCTGGAGACTTTGTTTTCTAATATTAATCATCTCAAGGTCACTAGAACATTTTATGGTTAGAAATCCAGTGGTGATGGCCTTTCAATCATGATCTCCTTTCAGTAAAAGATTTTCCCTTTCTTATCATCTCCCTTATTCTTCTTTTTGGTCACTTATTACCTTGTAGACACTGTTGGAATCTGTGGTCTTACTGAAGTCAAGTCATCTTTTACTGACTTATAATTTCTTGATAGTACATTCACTTTTATAATGTGTTTAACACAGTATTTTGTCAAATAAGTTCTTACAACTTGAAGTTATGTTCTGAAAACTAAAGAGTTATAGAAAGTTGGTTTTGTTTTGTTTTTTAAGTATCTATTGAAAGCAACTGACTTTACTAATTTAGGCCAATTAATGACATTGAGGAGGTATCTTAAAAAATCAGTTTATGTAAGTATTTTTGATTTATTTATCAGCTTTTTAAAAAATTTTTTTTAGTTATACATGGGCACAATATCTATGTTTATTTATTTTTATTTGGTGCTGAGGATCGAACCTAGTGCCTCACATGGCATGAGGCAAGTGCTCTGACACTAAGCCATATCCCCAGCCCTATTTATCAACTTTTTAATTATTTTTCCTGATTATCAAAACCATGCATGTTTAATATGGGAAGATTTGGGTGAGTACAGGGAAGTATTACAAAAACAGTGTAGGTCCCCCGAGTAATCTTCAGGTTCAGTTCAATCCCTATAAAATTTTTTGCTGCCTTTTCCCTAAAAGTTGACACACTTATTCTAAGACTCACCTGTAAATGCAAGTGACTCAGTAATTAAAAGACAAACTTGAAAAAGAACACAGTGGCTGTATACTTGGTTTCAATACTTAATACAGAGTTACTGTAATCAAGATGGTGTGGTATTGATATAAAGCTAGGCATACAAGTTAGTAGATTTGAGACTCCAGAAATAAACTACTAAGTGATTGATTTTTGACAAAGTTGTCAAGACCATGTTTTGGGTGAAAAATATTGATATCCATATATAAAAGAATGAATTTGGATTCACCTCTCACACCAAAATTAACTACAGTGGGTCAAAGACTTAAATGTAAGAGTGTTACCGCCAATGACAGGTGATGAGTCCTTGCTTCCCCAGTGTTGAAGAATAACACCAGAGAAGCACACCAAGGCAAGGTCAGAGTGGAAATTAGAAGTTTATTAAAGGACAGCAGAAAAGACTTCTCCCAGAGGAAGAAGGGGATCCAAGAGATGGAATCTGTGGAAGTGTGGTTGTTTCCCCTTTTTGTAGTTCCTTCAGTGATGGAACATGGGAAGGCCTGAGGGGTGGGACACAGGTGGGCCAAATATGTAATCTGGTCAGGAAGGACTTCTGAGTCAGCATCTTCAAGTTTGCTGGGGGCTGTTCTTTAACACTTTTTTGGGATGGGCTCTGGCCTTGGGCTTTTCCTGGACTTCATTAACATTCCAAGAGTTGTTCAACTTTTCCCGGAATTCATTCTCAACATGGCCTCCATTTTAGATCTCACTTGGTATTATACCCGATTTACCTAACTACACTGACTACCTAACTTTAAATCTGGCTTCAAGAGCTGAAACTATGAAGCTCTTTGAGTACATAGGTGTAAGTCTTCATGACCTTGGGTAAGTCAGTAGTTTCCTATAAAGGACACCAAAAGCATAAGCAGGTAAAAAAAACTTAAATAAAAGAGAGAGAGAACTTAGACTTCTTCAAAAATCAAGAACTTTTGTGCTTCAGAGGACATTATCAAGGCAGCAAAAAGATAGCTCACAGAATGAGAGAAAATATTCATACAACATATCTGATAAGCATCTGTGTAATACATAAAAAACACAACTTAATAATTTTTAAAATGAGTGACTAGACATTTATCCAAAGAATTAGGCAAATGGCTAATAAGCACAAAAAAGTGGTCAACAATATTATTTATGAGGAAAATGCAAATCAAAATATACCTGCTAGGTTGACTGTTTAGATGGATAATAAAAGGTGTGAGTGAGGATGGGGGTGTTGCTGGTGGTATCGCAGAGTGCTGCAATTGCTTTGAAAAGCAGTTTAGCCATTTCTGAGACAGTAAAACACAGACCTACCATACGACCCAGCAATTCTAGATATATACCCAAGCATGGATAGACATGCCAACACTTGTATACAGATAATCACTGTAGCCAAAAAGTGGAAACTAATTTTTATTACAATCCCAAAAGTAGAAACAACCCACATGTCCAATCAGTTGGTAAAAGTTTAAACAAAATATGATATATTCATACGGTGAAATGAAAATAAAAAGAAAATGAAGTACTTGCATGTGCAACAGTACAGAGGAACCTGGAAAACAGCCAAAGTGAGCAAAGGCCAAATATTTATGATTCCATTTATGTGACATGTTTGGAATAGGCAAGTTCATGGCCACATGAGTAGAGTAGTGGTTGCCAGGGGCCATGGGAGAAGAGAATAGAGAGTAAATGCTAAAGGGTTTTGGGCTTTTGGGGGGATTGTTAAAAATGTTCTGGAGTTCAGTAGTGATACGCACATCCTTGTGAATATACTAAAAACCACTGGATTTTACAGTTTAAAAGGATGAATTTCATGGTACATGAATTTTATCTCTAGAAGAAGAAATAACTAAAAAAACAACACTTAACCTCAGGTGCCTCTGCTCAGGGATCACTGTAGCTCACATTAGCTGAGCTTTTTACAAAATGCATACTCAGTGCCAGGCACCAAACCCTAGATAACTTGTGAATCTTCAGTGTAAATTGGGACTCCTCACTCCTTCCCAATGCTCTTTCCAGTGATTTACTGTGCCTGTTTTGCAGAGTTTTGGGTGAAGGGAGAGCACATTAATTTGGAACATTATTAAAGTATTTTACAAAGTTAGGTGCTTTACTAAGACAAAATGCTCAAAAATGGTTATAGAAAGCAAAAACCCGAGAAATGGATTAAATATCCTGGGAGTTAGTCTTTTAGTGCCAAGGAGTGTATGTTAAGCATATATTCTTGTTTTCACAGATTCTAAGAAACAAGTCACATTAAAAGTGGCCATTGTCTTGACCTCCTTTAACTCCTGGGTAGAAAAGCCAGTTGGGCTTTGTTTCCACAGAATATGCTATGGTTCTTTGCTGCTCAGGGTAGTATCCGAGTTTAGAAGGCACCAAGAAAACACATCAGCACAAAACCCTTTGTTATAATGGTTAATTTTGTTTATTATATGCTCTTAATGTCTTAGAGCCACCAAGCCGGGTTTAGAAGTTTTATCCTGTTTGAATTTTTATTGACTGATGTTTGTTCCTTAACAATTTTGACATGAAAATGCTTTTTTTTTTAAATTAGTATTTTAAAAATCTTGAATCTAAAACTGGTTCTCTGACTTTATTCTTTTGTCTTGTAATTAAAGAAATTATTAATTTTCTATGAAAATTATTTCTAGAAACTTTTAATAGCTTGATCTTGACTGAAATTTTCACCATAGCACAGTTGATTCCCACTATTTGACACCTTTATTCTTGTTGATGCACACTTGCTTTTAGTCAGTATCTTTGAGATGTGAATGTTACAGACATTTGCCAAATAAATTCCTTTTTCCCCAGAAAAATTCTCCAAAAATTGATTTTAATGTAAAAATATTCTTTCTTAGATATCATAATCTCGTAATTTTAATGTGACTGCACCAAGCTTGGGTTCTAAATTCCATGAAAGCAGAAACTCTTTTTGCCATTACTATATAGTCTCAGTGTTTATCCTTAGGCCTTGTATATCATCAATGCTTAATAAATGCTTGTTATAGGAATATATCATAATTACATGTATTTATTTGTTTTTATATATTGTTTTGTCTTACACCTCCCAATTAACTCTAATGTTCCAGTTGTTAATATTATAATAATTTTTTTTAATGTTTTCTTTCTTTCTTTAGGTTGGTATTTTGTGTGGCATCTGTTTTTATCTAAATTCAAGTTTCTACGGGAACTAGTGGGAGACACAGGATCCCAGGAGGGAGATCATGAGCCTTCAGGGTCTGAAACTGAAGAAGACCCTTCATCCTCTCCACACAGAGTCAGATCTGCACGCCAAAGGAGGGCACCTACTGACGAAGGCCATTGATCCTAGACAGGGTCCTTCATTAGTATACAATGAAAGGCAATTATGAGCCTCTGTCTTAGTGACTTGGCTTTGAAATATACTAAATGCCTGAAGAACATTTATACTTGGATTTCATATCCAGTTCAAAAAATTTATATGTAAGCCATATAGTAATAAAGGGAATTAAAACCAAATTGGACCTTTGCAAATTTCATCTTAAAGATAATATTTTGTTTTGATAGCTTTCTGCTCAACACATTTATTCCTTGGCTCTTGGGATTTTTTTGTTTGTTTGTTTGCACTGGTGTGAATCTCATAAACATTTCAAGCTTGAAAAGCATATTTTAATATTCAAAATGTATTCTTCATGTTTTAACTTGTCTGAAATGGGGATGCATCTCATTACTGTCAGCCAGGATAGTCACATAATTATCCTAGCTTGTGCATGTGTGAATTTACAGCTCATAGTGGCATCCCCTTAACTGACATGTATTATTGGTATCAAATGTTTCAGTTTAATTGGCCTTTTAAAATGTCTTCTAAAAGATTACACTATGACTCAGCATTGAAACGTAGGGTTATTGTATATGCGGAAAAGCATGGAAACAGAGCAGCGGGGCGAACATTTGATATTAGTGAAGCAAATATTCGCCGTTGGAGGAATGACCGAAATTCCATATTTTCTTGCAAAGCAACCACAAAATGTTTTACGGGACCTAAGAAAGGAAGATACCCACAAGTAGATGAAGCTGTACTACATTTTGTCAGTGAGGCATGTGCTAAAGGATTGCCTATCACACGCCAAGTAATGCAGTCAAAGGCAGGGGAAATTGCCAAAACCCTCGGAATTGATGAAACAAAATTTAAAGCAACAAGAGGCTGGTGTGACCGATTCATGCGTCGAGCTGGACTGTCATTAAGACATCAGACATTGTTTTGTCCAAAACTTCCCACTGACATTAAACAGAAGACAGTGGTGGAGCATTCTTTCAAGAAATGCTGCATCGCCAGTCCTCTTGAAGATGCCAAGGGCCATGTCATGTGGGCAAATGCAGACAGCGAGGACGGTGACGTGAGAAGTGATTTAGAAGAGCTGGGTTCAGAATATGAAGTTATAGTTATAACTTGACCAGTTTATTTCCCACATTCTTTACATACACACAAGATTGGTGTGACAAAAATCTTTTAAGAGCACTGTTTTAATGAATATAAAATGTTTTCTGTGCTATAGGCATTAGGTTGTAGTTTCAAGGGTAGTGTTTTTCTTTGTAATAATACGGTGCATCTTAACTGATAGTATCTGATTAAATAAAAATGGTCTCGTCATGATAAATTTATTTTTCTTTTCAAGATGGCATCTATTTATTGGAATACTTAATACTGACTCATGTTAAATAGTTATCTTCTATGAAATACATTTTTTTGGGTAATCTATTCAAGATTTTAGAGTAGTTAGGAATAGGAAGAACTATTCTCTAGGAAGAGTAGGGTTAGTCACTCCCTTTGTATGGGAGGACTTTATGCTTAAGGCATGTGTTGTGGAGAAACTACTTTTTCACAATAATCCAGTGACAAGACCTCAGAGGTACTGGGTGTTGAAAATATACCGGGTGGAAATACCCGCGTAACTGTAAAACAACTCTTGCCAGGTATCCATGTTTGTCTTCACTGATTTTTGGACTGAGTGTTTACTGGGGAAGAGAGGTATGGATTCACAAAACTTACTGTTCAGTGTTCCCTGCTTTGTATAAGAACGAAATGCAAAGCCAGTTTGTTTGATTAATCTGAGTTCTTCTGTTTTTCACCTTTGTTTCTCAGAATTAGTCATCACCTCCAATTTATGGAGGTTTGTAATTATGTTTGATACCTCATTCTTCGTGCTCATTCAGTTTTGTTGGTCTCCTCACAGTTGACTAGCTCTGCCCTAGGTTGTGTTCCTGATGAGCACATCTTTGCTGATACTGTAGACCTTTGGACATATTAAAAGGGAATTTACAGAGCAGAACTGTGTGTGTGCTCGCAGATGCTAGAGGAGCAGCTGCGAGAGGAGCACAGTCATTCTGTCTTCGTTTCCTTATTGGATGCTGTATGACTAGGGCATAAAAGAGCAGTGACACAGTTTCTAGCATTAATTTTAATGTTTCATGTATCAGCTGGACATTACATTCACATGGTCATCAGTTAGAAAAATGAATGCCTGAAAGCATCTTGGTGCTGGAAGGATATCAAATTAGACTTTTTTATTTTAGAATGCTCTGAGTGCTGGCTTTCTTTATGTTTGTGTTTTATGGTGGCTATATAAGGTTTAGTTAATAATTACTGAAATATTTAAGTAGCTGATGAGTGTCCTGTTGTGTCAGTATTAAAGAATGATAGCTGATGCAGTCCTACCCCCAAATCTGTAGTCACCTGCAAATTAATGGAATGTAATCCGTGTAAAGCTATATATGTTGGGCATTATTTATTGGCGCTAATGCTTCAAGCTTCCGTTGTTTTATAGCATTTTAAGAAATGTTCTGCTTAACTTACTTGAGAAATATACCTAAGAGCATATAATAGGTCATACTTGCCATGCTATAATTCACTGGAGGAGAGTAAAATTACTGATGCCAATAATGAAGAATCTGCAGGCTAATCCTTTATTTAAAACTTTCTTTTCATGCACCCCATGTAACATAGTGCGTATTTCTAAGACCACTAAGAGATGGAAGAGAAATAGTTATTAGTGCAGAATTATTTATGTGATATGGTATTTCTATTCTTTCCCTGTTTTATTTTATTGTTTTTTTGTAGCTGAATTTTAACCAAAACTGCATCCCAGCTGCATTTTTAGTCTCACTGAAAATGAGTCATTCAGTGGGAAGTGGACTATCCTGTGGTTAATTTCAAGGTTATGAGTATTAAAAACACATACAAATAGTAGACTTTTACCTGAACCCTCCTCCAAAATGATAGTTCTGGAGTATGCCATCTTTTTGAGGATTGATTCTAAATTCAAGGACTCAGGTAGATTGGTTTCATTTCCTTCTTAGCTAACTATTCCCAGATCAGTCTTTTGCTTCTGAACTTTTTTTTTTTTGGGGGGGGGGTGAAAATTGCCTGTGTGGTAGCATCTTTCAGATTTAATGCCAAAAAAAACCACTAAATATTTGTATAGCACTGTTAAAATGGGTTTGAAATACTTTCGTCAAGTTAAATATAAAATGCACTCACTGGATTTCCATAGAGGAAGCATTGTTATGTGTTAAACAGCTGTTTCACAGACGTGCTGACCATTTCTTTAGATGTTATTAGGTTTAAGAACCATTTCAAAATATTTTGTTGAAATATGGAAAGATATAAAGTTATGGATTCACACAACATGGCATCTTAAGTTGAAAGATTGAAAGTAGTGCATTGTTTCTCTTAAGAATAACAGTTTTGAAGTCAACAATGTAATCTTTTTAAACTTCAGCCTTTCTCAGTAGATATGTTTTAATGTAACATGTAATCAGTGTAGCTTAGATTTTGACTGGTAAACTAAATGCTTATATATTTGAAGTTGACTTTAAAAAGCCAATGAGCAGTCCTCAAAGGTCCTGGACTCTTAGCAACTAATAGAATAACGTTTGGTTTTGGAGTCTGGAGTTAAAGCACCTTGTGTTGTCTGCTTCTAAAGTGTCTCAGAGTTTTACATTTAAAGCATAAAGAGTAACATTTTATATTAAAAAGTTACATTTCCCATTTGTTAGTGTCCCGTGCTACCCCTCTGATGAGGAATGTTCACATTACCTCTGGGTCATTTCTATGCATAACATTCACCAAATACTGCTGCTGTGGTTTCTTAAAGGAAACCTCGTGTGCTATGATGCATTGTCATCTTGCTGCTCGACAAATAAGCATATGAGGAATTAGACTGTGTGTGTTATCAATACCTTTGTACAGACAACAAGATGTAACCCTAAAGATGAGGAATGTGCGTAAATAATCACTCAGTGATTTTTGTTTAAAAATTGGTCAGTACTATAGCTAAAGCTTCTGTGGTTTGTATGATGTTTTAACTTTTATTTTAAACTGCACAGAATAAATAAAAATGAAAACAAACAAGTTGTGTATTCATTGATAAAGAATTAGCACAAAGGGTACCTTGGACGTGAAGGGGTCTCAAAACAGCCATTTTTACTAATGGTTCATACTTCATCTTGTTTTTCAAACTAGAATAAACTAAGAAAAAATAGGTTAGCGGTGGTATTTCTTAGTGCCATGAAATTATTGTCTTAGAACCTAAATTAGGGCTGAATTATTTATCTTATTTAGCCTCTTTGCTTTCTCATATCCAATACTCTAAAGATTTTTTAAATATTCTATTCACAGTAGATCATGTCCCACATTTTTGTCAGTATAACCAACTAGGAGCACTGAGAAAATCACAGACTAGTAAAAAGATTAAGGAATGCTTTTGAGAACCTATTTGGGATAGGAAAGCATGAATTTCAGTGGCCCAAGTTGGGATTTTTCTTCAGCAGTGCTCAGCTGTCAGGAGTAAATGGATTTGCCAGCCTGGCTTTGTATGATGGGCTCCTCTCAAGAGTAGGGCCATTAGAGATTGTCGGGGCTTGGCCCAACAAGGGTTTGGGCTGGCCTGTAAGAAGAATCAACTTGAGGCCCTGGTGAGCTGGGTGGATGGGAAAGGGGTAGGGATTGAAAATGAAATGAGTACAATGTAGGATCGGTAGAAGAGAGAGCTTGAGGGGGAGACAAGGACTCTGGAGGTGGAACAGTTCTGAGCAGACGTATAAATAGAACCATAGGAAATGGGCAGGTTGAGAATGAGGGCTTACTCTAGGGTACGGTGTGAGTCATCAGCATGGCCACTAATACTTCCACAGGATGGCTAGAGTTGGGATGGAGAAGGTGACCATGAACTTGGGTCCAGATCAGGTTGTTGGAAGACTGACTGCAAATTCTGGAATGTTAGCTGGCTTTTAAAAGGAGTTTACTGAGAATGTAAGAGGAATTGGAGGAGCTGAGGGAGTGCTCACATTCCTGGCAGCTACACAGGCCTTTTACAGGCATAAATTCTTCAACTGGAGTATAAAAGTAACACCATGGAGAACTTTGTGTGGGGGGAGTTGGTGACAGCAAAAGCTTCACTAAGGATTTTGAAGGGTGGAGTAGGAGCTTTCCAGGTGGGGGTAGAGGGGATGAAAATTCAGACAAAAGGAATAGCATGTTTAAGGGCAGTCACCGGAAGAGTCTGTTTGGAGAACTAGATAGGTGCTTATTCTTGGAATAGAGAGTGCAAATGGGGACACTAGTTTGAGGCTAGAGATGTATGAAGGATCTAGGTCACAAAGACCTTGTATGCAATGGCAAAGGCTTTGAAGTTCAAGCCATATGTAATATAGAGTATTGCAATATTTTAAATTGAGTGAGAACACTGATTCTTCCAGTCTACTGGACTGGGTGCAAGTGGCTTAGGAAACTTCTGCTACCTGCATTGAGGACAGATTGGAGGCACGGTGGAAACAGGGTGTCTCTTAAATTGTTCAAGCAAAAATACAGAACTACTGGGGGACTGCAAGGGGAGTAATCATGAGAAGATTGGGAATGGAGACTCAGGAGGGCTGAGATTGAACTGTGAGAGTGGATGAAGGAGAAGGAGTAGCAAAGATGTTTCCAGCAAGTAAGTTTGAGGTCGAGAACATTGACTGATGCCCATAGAAGCAGTAGGTTTGACACTGGGTCTAGGGAAATGGAAGATGGAAGTCTAGTTTGGGGCCTACTTACTTGATTTTGAGGTGCTTCTTGGTAATTAGATGGACAGAAGCAGTCTGAAGGTATGAGTCGACACAAACTCATTGTATGTAGGTGCAGTTGAAGCAATATACAAAAATAGGTTCCACTGGGGGGAAGGTGGAGGGAATATTTTTCCCCTTAAATGTATGTGTGTGTTGTATATTTAATCCCTAATGTGACAGTGATGAGTACCGGGCCTTTTGAGAGGTGTCCAGGTCATGAGGACATGACTGCAGGAGTCGATTTGCTCTCTTCTGCCATGTGAGGACACTGTTCTTCCTCTCCAGAGAGCACAGCAAAGAAACATCACTTTTTTTTTTTTTAAATCCAATACTAGGGGTTGAACCTAAGAACCCTTTATCATACATACCCAGTCCTTTAAAAAAAAGTAATTTGGAATCAGGGTCTTACTAAGTTGCCCAATGTGGCCTTAAATCTAACATTCCTCCTTCTGAGTAGCTGGGATTGTAGACATGTGCCATGGTACCTGTAATCTTGAAACCAGACACTGAATCTGGCAGTTGGAATCCTTGGTCTTGGACTTCCTATCCTCCAGAACTGTTAGAATCAAATTTCTGTTCTTTATAAATTACCCAGTCTCAAGTATTCTGTAATAGTAGCACAAACAGACTAAGGTCCCTAAAGAATATCAATGTTTAAGAGACTGGTAAAAAGTTCATTAAGGGCTACAAAAAGAAACAGTAACGTACCATAGAAGAGTAATCCTCTAGAAGCAAAATGAAGAAAATTTTAAGAGCAAGCTTTCAATGATGTTACTCAGATCTGACTTTTAAAATTGTGGTAATGGTAAATTATTGTAGTAGTCCCTGCAAAAGATGCTGTGAATCCATACAAGGCTGATGATATCATGAAGCCATGTTGAAGATTTGGATGGGAGTCCATTTGACAGGGTGTGGTAATTGATGAGATGTGAGAGACAAGGATGAGTCAATGTGGATCAGTGGTGGAGGACACAGGGCAGAATATGTTTGAGGGGACAGTTTGAGGATAAGCCCAGTTGCATGTAAGAGCAGTGGAATTGACCAATCTGGATCTTAGGATAAAGATCAGGAGAAAAAGCATTCCATCCAAATGCTATAACTTGGGAGCAGGCAATTATTTAACCTCCCTGTTTCCTGTCTCTGAATTTAACCTCTCTGTTTTCTGTCTTCTAGAAATGATATTTTAAAAATACCCGTTGAGCATTTCAGTATGTAGGAAGCAACCAATAACTTAACCACTGTCCTTTCCTTTCTCTTAGTTACCTTTATACCTGTACAAACTTTCTTAGTGACACCTTCGTCTAGGAGCTTCTGAGCTCATTGGAAAATGTCAGTTGAAAAGTGGAGTCCCAAAAATGGGCACACTCATCCTACACAAATGGTAAGGCCGAGGCTTTTTATGTTTTTTTTTTCTCCCACAGAATAAAAACCCACTAGAGTTACATCTCATTTTCTTTGCAAAAGCCAGACATAATTCTGTGACTAATGGTGGTATTCTCCCAAAATTAGAACAAGAATAGGACCTTGCAGACCAAAGATTTTTTGTACTATATTTATCACCCATGGTCCTAGAGTTCCATTTTATAATACTGCTAATGTAGTTAGTACTAATGTAGTTAGTACTGACAGTATTTTATAGTTGATCATTGTAAAGCAGGTGTGTATTTACAATTGCCTCATTGTATGTGTAGATGGGTAGGATCTTTAGCATTTTGCCTTTATCTGTTTTTCCCAAAGTATTGAATTGAGTTTTCCTAAAAACAGCAACCCTCATTTCACACTCATTTCATTGTAATATTTAATTATATAATTATGATATCAGACACATTTGGAATAAAAAGGGGTGGGAGCAATTTTGGTCAAACAGAGGTCACCGGGTAAGAACAGAACTATGTGAACATTCGAGATACTAATCCTCTCTGACCATGCACCCCATTCTGGCAGGGACTGGACATCTTATATCAGAGCCACTGGAAACCAGAGCCAGGAATCCACTTCCCCTTCTCTGGAGCGTTCACACCTGTCTGTATCTGTTCCCGTCCCTCCATCCCATCTGGGGCATGAGAACAGACCCCTCCTCTGAAATGAATCTCTCCTGGGCATTGGATTTCATCACAACTTTTCAGCAATTGACACTATCAGTGATTTCTTCTCCGATAGATCCAGTCACTCCCTAATGATTAGTTCCCTTCAACACTGAAGTATATTCCTTAAGCATATTTTGTCTTGAGAGAATAAAGGTAAGGCCTCCTTCTCTCCCTTCTCCATTTCATGCCAGACCACACAAGACAATGATCTCTACTCAGAAGGACATTTTCTAGTCCTCAGCTCTGCCTGAGCATTTGTCATCATTGCTCGTTCTTTCTTTATTATTTATACTATTTTTAGTTGTAGATGGACACAATACCTTTATTTAATTTATATCTGAGGTTCTGATGTACTGAGGATCGAACCCAGTGCCTCACACATGCCAGGCAAGCACTGTACCACTGAGCCACAACCCCAGCCTGCTCATTTCTTTCTTTGAAATGTTCTTTTCCTTGGCTTTCTATGACACTCAATTCTCCTGGCTTTACTGATTTTATTCCTGTCCAACCGGTCACACCTCCACCTCATGTTTATCTTGCAACTAAGGGTTAAAGAGTTTCCTGAGCTTAAATTCTAGCCCTTTCCTTACTCTGTGCTGTCCCCTCAGGCCATCTATCTGTGACTTCAGCTATCATGTCTTCACTGGTGGGGCCCACATTTCTCTCTTGACCCACCTGTCTTCTCAGTATCTCAGCTTTCGTAAATGCTGATCAGATCTAACGTCTGCAAGGTCAAATCTGTGACCCTGCAAACCTGGTGTTCTTCCAGTGTCCTTAAGTAATTGCATGAGTCAGCAGCAGCCTAGGTATCATCCTTGACACCTCCCTGTTTGGTGTCCTGTATCTAACACATAATCAGGCCTTGTTGATTTACTTCTGAAATAGCTCTTGAAACCATATGCTTTTCTCTATTTTCTTATTACCCTCTGCCAGTGATGTAGTAGTAGTATTATAATAATGGTACATATTTTTAGAGTTTTTGTTGGGATTAAATGAGCCAGTACAGAGGGTGCATTTAGAAGAGTATTGCCTGCAATTCTGTGCTCACTGTTGACCACGGCCACTGTGGCTGTCTCTCGTTGACATAATCCATCTTTAGTCTTTTCTCCTTGTCACCAGAGTGACCTTTTTGAAACTGAAATTTGCTGTGTCCTTGCTTATAGCATTTGAATGGCTTCCCACTTCTGTTAGAAAAAAGGTTGGCGCCTTAACATGC